GCCAAAGCAGACTGTGCAATTTGGGGCTGTAAGTGGTGAAGCATTGGAAAAGAGAAAAGATAATATTCACCGAGGCAGGGAAACAGCATCTGCTTTTTTTTTTTGTAAGAAGAGGCTGTGAGCAGAATTTCATTGACAAAAAACCCCTTTGCAGCCAGTGCACGAAGCTGATGAGAAGATGGGCGGTGCCTCAGATGGGAAAAGGCTTGTTTGCAGCAAAGATGAACATTAAATGTTCTGATGTTACTAGGAACAAACTCAGCACCCAGTCCTCTGGGCTCAGGAGTTCTTAAATGTAGAGGAAAATCCACCTGGTGGGACAAAAAAAAATGGTAGGGGAAAGAAAATCAGTGCAGAATCTACCCAAAGGTGCAGTGGTGAGGGCCTGCAGAGCAAAAAGGAGAAACTGAGGGAAACCTGCTGGCTGTTCAGGGATCTTCTGTAGCTGGAGAGCAGTGGGAGCTGTGGGGAGGGCAAATCTCAGGTGCTGGCTGCCCAGCTGCTTAGGAGACATTCAACACATATGTACACACATAAATACACATCTGTGTGTGTATACAGATGTACAGTGAGGCTGGCACAGGCTGCTGAAGGATTTCCAAGCACGTCACTCTAAGGAGTGCCCTTTGATAGTACTGAGACCAACCCTGACCAGTGTTGCTTCCCTGACCCCTTGTTCTTTGCTGCCCAGCTGTGGGTATCTGCGTGTTCTCCTTTGTGATGCTAAGCTCCAAGGAGTTTGTGCTCTGTGCTCACCTCTCATCCTTCACCCTCCCGCAGTGTTTGTCCACTTGGGAACAGGCAGAAATGCAAATAGAGGATTTAAGTGTGTTTTCCTTAGCAGTTCTGCTTTAGGGGAACTGCTGATTTTAGTGGTCTCCCTTGGAGAGAGGAGGGGAGGCATTGTGAGCTCCACAGCAGCTCAGAAACATCTTTGCTCTGCATTTTGAGAGGGTGAGTCCTTTCCTCACTGTTTAAAGCCAGACTTTTACCAGCTACATCCCTGTCAGACTCAGTTTCGGTGAGTTTGGTTTCTGCAGCTAATGAATCCCAGGCAGGGCTTTGAACGCAGTTTGGAAAAGTGGAATGCTGAAGGGTGGGGAAGGGAGGAACAAGGAGAGTGCTTCTGACATGGTGGCTTTGCAGAAATGCTCCTGCTCTGGAGTGACGTGGTTCCCTGTACCCCCAAGTGCAGCTGCTGCTGCTCCTGGAGCCACAGATCTCACTGGGAGCGAGTCGGGGCTTCAGCTTTTGGAGATGTGGAGAAAGCATTGCAGTGCCTAGGGTGGATCAGTGGTTTCTCCAGTGCTCTTGTGTGTCGGGTGGCAGCGTGCTTTGAATTTTGTTTGAATTTGGGGCTGGTTGGGACTGTTTTCTGTCCCTGTTTTTGCACTGAAAGCAAGTGGATCTAGCCTGCGTCCAGTCGGGTGTTCTCCTCACACATCAGTAGCTCTGGTGTGAAACGTGGCCCCTTCCCCCTCTGCCTTGTCCCTGGTTACCAGGGCTCCTCAATCTGGTATTTCAGCTGGTAACATTTGCTTCTGAATAGCTGGAGCTGAGGTGACTATGCACTGAAGGTACACTGCCTCAGTGCAGCTGTAGGCAACAGTGGCACCCAGAGTTGGGCACAGCCAGGATCCATAGGGAATGGTGATGTCCAGTACAGAGCTGGGCGCAGCCAGGCTATGGGCACCCTCAGTACAGATGGGAAGGGGGGGGTGAGGTCTGTTTCGAACTGATTAATGGACTTGCCAGGGGCACACTTGCAGATCCTGAAGTCTTGCTGTCCCCCTGCCCCTTCCTTTGTGGGCACTGTTGGTATTGGTGGGTGGGAGCCTGAGGAAGGCCCAAAGCAGATCCATGCTGGTGGTGAGCCCACCACTTTCTGCTCGTAGCTACTTGGTCTCTGAGTTAGCAGAGAAACAGCCTACTCACTGTTTGCCAGCTGCCAGCTCTCGTGACAGGAAGGTTTTAGCCTGGATAATTTTGCTTTCGATAGATTTTGATGAAAAACTGGCTTTTTAGTTGTGGTCCTTCTGAGCTGCCAGTCAGCACAGAAGGCAGTCTCCAGCTACAGGGCCCTGCTAAGAGTGTGTACAGTGTTTGTGAGCAGGAGTGACCACGCTGGGCTTTAGAGAGAATAAGCCCAAATGAGCATCTATGATGAGAGGAGCATGCCTGGGAGCAGCACCTTGAGAACACCAAGAGAAGCCTTGGCATTTCATCTCATTTCCCTGGGATTCAGAAGGAAACCTTCTTGGAGCAGTTAGTCACCCACTCAGGTGCATTTATCTTCTGGAGAAAGCTGGAGGGTTTGTGATCTGCCTACTCCACCTACTTCTGCCTGTTCAGACATCCAGTTTCCTATGAGACAAGAAAAATAGTTATAACCATCATCTTCCTGGAGAAGAGATGGAGGAAAAAGGCAGGCCCCTTTGAGATTGCCTCTTCTGGCAGATGCCTGCAGATGCATGGTGTCTGTCTCCTGTCTTGGCTACCCAGAAGGTGTCTTAGAGATCACTGGACCTTGAGTGTGAGGGGAATCTGGTGACTGTGTGATAAGTTTGAATTGTGGAGGTATGATATGGTGGCTCAGGTGATAATCCTGGATCCCTGGAAGGTTTTCTGTGCAGTGCTGGCAACGTGCCCTGAGCCAGGGCCGAGCAGCTTCTTTTGGCCTGTATTTACAGGTGGCACTTCAGCAGTGCCAAAAACAACAGACTCCAGGATCTTCTGTCCTCCGTGCACTGCAAAGCCTTGCCCATGGTGAAACAGGCAGGGACCAGCACAGAGCGATGGGCTGGAGAGTTGCACCGTGCTCCAGTGAAGTCCCTGGCTCTTCCTTATGGCACGGCAGGTCCCCAAGAGCCCCTGCCTCCCCTGGGCAACCTGGCAGGACCAACCTGTTGCTGCTGGATAGGTCAACCCTGGGTACACAGGAAGCACATCGGTCTTTAATCCTGTAATTAGGAGTTTCAGTAACGACTTACCTGGAAAGATCAAAAGCTGAGGTATACAGGCTTCTTCCTGCCCGGTCCCAGCCATGGTTGGGAAGATACAGCTTCCTGCACACAGATACCTCCACTTTCATACGAGCAGCTCTGGCAGCTTGGCAGAGAAGTTCTGGGGCTGCCTGTTCCCCAAAAGCCCTGTGGCTGGAGGGCAGTAACCTGGCAAGGCTGAGCGAGGGTGGTAGCCTTTCTGGTACACAGGTACCATAATGCCCCTGCCTGCATGGGGCTGTGCCCTCCTGGCTGCTGGGGCAGCCTGGTCCCTGGAGAGGGGACCACTTTGTGTGCTAGGAGGGGCAGTGGAAGCGGATGATGTGACCAGAGGAAGCCGTGGTGGCCACTTAGCATGTTACCAGGCCAGCTGTGAGGTGTGGAGGGCTGCTCCCATTGTGCAGGGAACAAAGCTGAGTTATTCACCGCCCTGCAACAGACCCTGGGGATGGAAGGAAGGCCATGGAGATGTGGAGCCCTTGGAGGCCTCCCCAACACCAGACAGATAACATGCGAAGATGAGAGGTGGCGACGCTGCCTCCCTGTGTGGTTTGCAGCCCTGATGCCTCCTCGCTGGGGCCCTGTTCAGGTCTGCAGAGTTTCCTAGACATGAAAGAAGCTATTTTTCTCCCTCTCTTCCATCTGTGCCTGGAGGTGAGGTCTCCAGCCTCAGAAGAGACCTTCACGGGGCGGCTGCCCTCCCAGCTGACTGCTGTGAAGGCCGTGCTGGCCTGCTGGCTGTGCCTCTCCTGCATGTTGCTCTCAGCACCCTCTTTCAGAGCCTCGCATGCCTTTTAAGCTCATCTTTTACCCATCAGTGAGCAAAAAGGAGCCAGCACACAGCCCTTGGCTGGGCTCACCCGTTGACCTCCGCAGCCAGAGAGCCTTTAGCCCACGCTGGTGGCCAGCCCGAGCTCTGGGCAGAGCTGGAAGGGGCCAGTGTCGGTTTGCCTGCAGCTAGAGCATAAAGCCTGGAGATCCAAACAGAGGCAGTTGAGGGGCCTGGTGCTGCTCTAGGCAGGGTAATGGGAGGAGAGGAGGAGAGGGGGCTGCTGCTCTTTGATGGTCCTGTGCTGTGGGGCTGCTGGAGAAGTGTTTTACCCCAGCAGCTGCTGGTTCTGAAGCAGCTCCTTGCTCCGCATGAGTAATGGGGTTGGCTGCACGCAGACCATGCAGCTGCAGCTCCAGAGCCACCCGGACAGCCCTGGGAGCTCCTCTGGAATCTGGCCCCGGAGGGACCCTGCACAGTCTGCCCTTCGTGTGCTGGCACTCAGCTCTCGTAGCTGTCCCCAGCCAGGAGCTGGGCACCACGAGAACGAAGCATCTCCTGCTCTTCGTCCCTCTGGTACCCACGGCGTCACAGCCCTGATGGGGATGCAGTGTCTGCTCCATGTCTGCAGAAGGCTTGGGTGGGTCTTTCTTGGTGTCTAAGGCTCTATCCTGCATAAAAGAAGATCCTTCAGCTCTCTGAGCAGAGGCGGTCGCAGTGAGGCCATCCCATGGGGTGGCTTATGGGCCTGAGTAGTTCTGTGTCTGCCTTTCCTCCACCACAGCAGGTGTCATACCCAGCAGGGCTATGCTGAGCTGAGAATTCCTGCAGTCTTGGCAGCAGCTTCCCCGAGGCCCTCAGTGCCCGGAGAGGACATGTTTAGTGGTGACCTGGCAGCGCTGGGTTAATGGTTGGACTTGATCTTAAAGGCCTCTTCCAACCAAATCAATGTGATGATTCCCTGACAAACGTGCCCAGCGTCCTGGGACCTGGCGGGGAGGTGGAGCGGCAGCGGAGCGGCCAGCGCAGCTGAAGCCCTCTGCATAAGGAGCCATTTGTTTGGCTGAATTGTGAAGCCCCATTGACAATAGCAGCCCCCCCTGCTCCTCTCGCACTCGAGGAGCTGTGCCACACACTGCTCCTTTCTCTTGTCTTCAAGCCCCGAGTTGGGGTTATTCTTCCCCGAGTCTCTCTGACTGGCTGTCGCCTTTTGTCCCGGCTCCCTGCAGGCGTACGAGTGGGCCTTGGAAGGGATGCGACACCTCGCCTGCATCAGCATGGAGGACTGCAGCTCGGCCGAGCACTGCGCTGCCGTCCTCAAGTGCCTGGAGAGCTACAAGGAGCAGCACCCGGACATCAGCGACGCCCGCTTCCAGGAGATGAAGGAGCTGGCCTCCGAGCTGAAGAGTGACAAGGGGCTCAAGCAGTGGAAGTTTGCGTGGTCCAAATGCCAGGAGACCAAGGTGGTGTTTGAGAAGAAACTCGAAGCTGCTTTGAGGACGAGGAGATCCCAGGTGCCGGAGCGCCGAGGTGCTGCTGGGGAGCAGCCCGGGGGGGCGGCCGGGGAGCGGCCCCAGCCCGGCCGGGCCCACGGGAGACACTCCGAGGGGGTCGCCTCCGGCTCCCACTGGGACAGGACTTGCAGCACGTCCCACGGCTACAACAGGCCCGGGTGGACTAAGGAGAAAGCTCCCTCGCCCTCCCTGAGCTGTCCTGGCGATGTCGGTGCCGGGGA